AAATTAAATTTATTATAAATAAATAAAATAAATAAAATACATTTTCTATTAATATAAACATATCATGATGGCAAACTACAATATATAAAACAGCTGAATTAATCAAAAAGCTACTTCTTTCTGAATTATAAATAATGATAAAACATTACATGAAAAAAGCAAATCTTAATGCATAATTAACATATCAAGTTTAGATATTTCATATAGAATATGAACTAAATATATAGAAATCATCACAGTGTTATTAATATTTTTATAATATACAATTTTATAATAATAGCTGTCAATTTCTTATTTGTTTTGTAACATTAATCATTCTAATGTATTTTTTTTATTTTCTCTCAAATCAGAGAATTTAAGCTTGCTATGCATAAATATTAGTATAATGATATTAATTTATAATGAAATACTCACATAGTATGATAAAAACATATCTATAATAAGAATTTTTTTTCAAACATCTTAAAAATTAAAATCGATTATATATAGGAAAAATATAGGAAAAAGTTATTCAAAATCTTATTTTCTATAAAATCCAATATTAAATATCCAAAAATCATTAGAATCAATGATAATACTTTTCTAAATAATCAAAAAGAATAATAATATAAAATTGATTTGATAATATAAAAATCATATTCGTTTTTTCTAATTTTTATAAAATTAATGCATTAAATAATTTAAATTTGAATTTAATTTAATTTTATTTTATTTAAATTAAATTTAATTTTATTTAATTGAATTTTCATACATTTTTCATTTTTATATTTAAAAATTTAAAATAAAAATAAAAACAAAAACATTTAATTAGAATTTATTTATTTCTTTATTAAAGGAATATTTTCATACTCAACAATTATTGTACGAGTAATATGAAATCCTAATTTTTGTGAACCCAATTTTCTTTCAATTTTTCTTTGCATTATATATAGATGAATAATTTTTAATAAATTTATTATATTAATACTATTATTTTTATTATTATCAATATATATTTATATTTATATTATTATATAAATTATTTCCAAAAATTATAAATATAACAATCATTTATGCATACTAATAATAATAATAATAAAAAAATAATATTTTTTAAAATATATCTAAATATATATATATTTATATCTAAGAAATGATAAAATACATTTATTTAAATAATATGAATTAATAGATTATTCTCATATAGAGAATTGCATATTAGTTCTAAATTTTTTCATATTTATAATCAATTAAAAAATTTTATAAAATTTCTTATAATAATAAGTAATTTAATAATAAATATATTATCAAATAAAAAATATCACAATAATATATAATATATATAATTGAAAAAATTAAAAAAATTAATATTAAAAAAGAATTAGAAAAAAAAACTTTTTAATTTTACAAAATATTCAAACTATTATAAAAGATTAAAACCTTTGAAACCTTTATTCTCTTATATTTATATTGATTATTTATATTTTTAGTCTCATAACATTTTTTTTTTCTTTTTCTTACAAATATATTCTTGTGTGAAATTATAAATATCAATTCCATATTAATTTTATTGGAAGATTCCAATTTATCATTAAGATTATAATCTTTTCCTCTAAAATATATTTTATAAATAAAAAAAATTTTAGAATTTTCTATTAAATTAATTTTGTTTTAAATTAACAATCAACATAAGTAAATATTTCAATATATAAAATAATAGAAGTATATTTTTGTGTATAATGACATTATATTAAATAAAAAAAATGTATAAATATTGTATACTATGTATTGTATTGCATTTCTACATTTATATGAAAAAAAAAAGATTAAATTATTGTATTATAACAAAATTAAATCTTGATGTAAATTTTTAAAGTATTTTTTTGCTATTTTTTCTTAGTTACGATATCAAATATATATATATTATAATATTAAAAATTTTATTACTATAAATAAACCATAGTTATCGCATATTTTGTTATCATAACAATGCAAAATAATATTGCATTAATTGATATATTGCAATAATAATGCAATATAATAAAATTAATATTGCAATAATATTGAGATTAAATTAGAATAAATATTATATTGAATTAACATACAAATAAGTATTTATGTTTTCAATTTTGAATAACGTTATATGAAATATATATGAAATAACATGCTATATAATACATTTACTAATTTTAAATTTAATATTTATATAAACTGATAAAAACTTCTATTATTTAAACATATCATAATATAAAATATAAAATAAGTTAAATTATAAAAATTAATAATATAAGAACAATCTTTTATATAAAATATATGTATATACAATTACCTCATTTCTTGTAGAAGACATGATGTTCACTGTTATGTATTTATATACCAATCATTATTGATAGAAAATATAAATTTCTTCATAAGTATATTGCACCAATGCCATATAGAAAATTTATCTTCACAAAATCAAATCAAATACATTAATGTATTATTAATATTATTTTTATAAGTATTAAAAAATTATACTAAAAACTCATTAATTTGAATCAGTTAAATATTCAAGATAATATAACCTCAAATATTAAATAAATCAAAATAACCTAAACAAAATGTAATATAAACTCATTATATTATCATTATATTCATTATTATTAATTTAATATTAATATGACTATCATTCACTTTATAATTAAGATCTAAATAATTGTTTCAATAGAAGATAACATTATACAAATCAAGAAATATATATGTATAATGTATTTTTAAAAATATACACCATATTGGCATGTTAACAAAATTATAATCAATCTATGCATAAATCTTGATAAGAAATAATTTTTAAAAATTAGAAATAACTTTTTAAAAATTAAATAATATAATAAACACAATTATTTTAAATTTCTTTATAAAAAAATATATACACAATAAATATTTTGATATTATAAGTTATATTAAAAAGTTATATAAAAATATTTAGTTTTATTACGATTTCAAGTATAAATTCAAATTTACTTTAAAGTTAAAAAATAAAATAATATTTAATGATAATTAAAACTAAGAATAAAAACATTATATTTAAATAAAAAAACTGCAAATAAAAATATAAATAAATATTTCAAATATTTCTTAAATGAAATATATATTTTATAATGTTTACAAATTTATTTTATAATATATACAAATATATATAGAACATAATATAGTAAATTATAATCTCCTTTGTTAATATTAAATAACATTTAAAAAAATATAAAAAAATGTAATATTTTAGATATAATAATATAATTTTTAGGTTAGAAAATCTAATTTTAAATATAAAAAATATAGAAAAAATTGAAGAATATTCTTTAAAATTGTGAATGAAAATTAATTTTTTTAATTTAACTGAAATATGAATTATTTTTAAAAATGAAATTTTACACAATGATTTAAAAATATATTATATTTTGTTACTATATTTTATATTTCTTAATATCTTGATTTCATAAAAAATCATTTATGAAATTTATTGTATTTGAATAATATAGATTTATTTTTTATAAATAAATTAAATAAATTATTTAAAAATTTTTTCTAATTGTATTTATTTAAATAAAAAAACTTACTATTAGATATATTATATATAAAGTGTTCCATTTTAATTTTCCATAAGAAATATTAAAAGATATTACGAAAGATAAATCATGCTGTTACTTATATGATTTTTCACTATCATTAAACAAGACAAAATTATTAATTTCTTAATTTCTTAATTTTTAACTTGAAACTTATATTTTTTAATACATATGATTGTAGTCAATATTAAAATATTATTTGAACTTGTTCTGAAATATAAATCTTCAAAATTGACATGTTACTGATATTATTTATCTGATATAAATATAAATATCATAATATAAAAATAAAAATCGTATAGGATTATAAGATCAAATTTATATATACCATAAAAATACAAAACAACATACTAAATATAGAAATATAGAATAAATCTATAGAATAATATAGAAATCTTTATAAATAGCATTTTATAAAAGCATCAAATATATTTATATTTAGTATAATGGAAAATAATGTTTTTTGTTTTTTTTATAAACGATTTATGTTTGTCTCAAACGCATTTAAATATAATCTACTTCAGAAATAATAAATAGCTTACAAACAATTTCAATCATGTTTATTAAAAATGCAATAAATTTTATTAACATTAATAATTCATTTTATTCAAAAATCAAAGATTCAAAAAATCAAATGGTGGTTCAAAATCAAAAAACAATGAAAAATGTAACGAAATCCAAAATGATTGTGCATAATACTTGTACTAAATATGTATATAAAAAAAAAATCAAAAATACGGAAAACTTTTTCTATTTTTCACATCTTTATTATTATCACATTTTGTTAATATAACCTAAATATTGAATAAATCATATCAAAATATATTTATGAAATCATACTTGAAATTTATGATGATACAATATATTATTCTCAAGTATAAACAAATATAAATTATAATAAATATAATACAATATTAATATGCTCTAATATCAATAATAATCAATAGTTCTATTTCTTATATACATTTTTGTTATACTTTCATATTCGTAAGATATCTTTTGGAAGATTCTTAAAATCAAAATACAGAAATTGTTATATAAAAATATCGATTATTTATTAATTTAATTATTAAATTATAATTTATTTATAAGCAAGTATTATTATTTTAAGTTAGATAAAAGATAAATAGAATTTGACAATATGTCATAATCGTATAATGGAGATAAAGTTATTTCACTCTTATAATTTTGATTTCTAACATTATAATTTAATAATAATAACAATTTTTAAAAATAATTTTTTAATTATATATATAAACTTACTTTACATTAATGAAAATTCTGTAATAAAGATTTTTTTTAATCAATAATAATGAAATGTTCTAGTAATTTTTTAGCAAAACATTATTATAATATTAATGATTATATTTTATTTTTTCATTATTTCATTATATTTAATTAAATTATGTGATATTTTTTTATTATTCATTATTATTATAAATATTAGTGCTTTTTACTATTTCCAATGAATCTTAAATTGTATGAATATGTGATGATGAGAACAGAAATTTTACTGTACATATAAAAATGTACTTATCATTAAATGGCGTCGCAAACCATTTTAAGGTTACATTTATCAATAGTATAACAAAGTTATATCATGTGTTCAAGTAAAAAAAATATTAATGTAGTTTATATGAGTTGTATATATATCTAAAAATTATATATTTATAAATATAGTAAAAATTATATATTAATACATATAGTAAAATTATAATGACTTATGAATTGCATCATACTTTAAAATATTTTAATATTATAATATCATTATTTAAGATATATAAAAACTGTAAAAAGTAATAATAATATATTTTATAGATTGAAAGTTATTTAAACGAGTAAAAATATGAGTACGCAAAAAGGAAATTCCAATCGATCAAGACCACAAAAATATCAAAACCAAATTGCTTTTAAAAATGATTTACATGACAAATCAAATCAAACAAAATGTATTAATAGTATTCAAGTTGCACATGTTTGTGAAAGATGTAAAAAAATAATTGAGTGGAAAATTAAATATAAAAAATATAAACCATTAAAAAGAGCTGCAAAATGTGTCAAATGTGAACAGAAAACAATAAAACATGCTTATCATAATATGTGTTTAACTTGTGCTACACAATATAATGTATGTCCAAAATGTGGTAATGAAAATAATATTGTTAAAGAAGAATTTAATAAAACGGAAATTATGAAATTAGATACACAATTGCAGAACTTATTTAAAAGACTATCTGAACGAAAACGAAGAACATTCATGCGCTATATAAATTGTAATGTTTTAATTATAATATAATATTGTATTTTAATATATATATTATGTATATATTATATATATATATATTGATATTATTTTCAGCTATAAATAAAAAAGATAAATATAACAATATAACAAAAAATGGAAAAGAAGATATGAATGAAGAAAAAGAGAAAAAAAATACAAATAATTGTATATCTAAAGAAGATTTATTATTAAAATTGAAATCCTTAATAATTAAAGAAGTAGATAATGATGACTTTGACATTAATAATCAATTTGATTCAGATTCAGAATGATTTATGCAAAAAATATTTTATATAAATCATATTTATAATTATTTTTAATAAATTATTGCATTGATAATTTTATAATATAATTGTATGTTTATTAAATTACTTAATTTTATTTTCATATTTATATATGAAATATATATAATTTTAAAATTCCAAAAAATAAAAATACATTTTAATAATTAATAAATATTATATAATAAATATTAGATAATGTAAATTTTATATATTTTATATAATATATATAATATAAATTAATAATATATTACATAATTATAGATATATATATTATAGATATATTATATATTATATATATTATATAGATATATATAATTATAGTTAATATATATAATACATTTATATAGTTTTCACAAAATATTATAATTATAAAAGATGTGTTTATAAAAGTTGTTATTTGATTTAAAGAAATGCAATATATTTTATTAATAGTTTTATTACAAATAAATATATAGAAATTATATGGTGATAGTATGATATGACTATTTCACACTATTGTCTTGCTTTGTCTCTATCTCAATGCTTATAATAAATAAATCTTAATATTCCTAATTAATTTTTTCATTTATTTTGAAATTTCAAAATCAACGTTTCAAATGTGACTTCATGAATATATTAATACCTTATGAATAGCATAAAAACATATGTATGAAGTGTGATAAAATGTGTTACTGCACGCATTGATGCAAATTAGTTCACAAATATTAAATTTAATGCTATAATGCTAAAAATCTTTTGTAATTCAAAAATTAAAGTTGATTGCCGATTAGATATATAGGAAAAAATTATTCAAAATGATGGCTTTAATAACATATTAAAATCAAGTTTAATAATTTTGAGTTTATAATATTTAAAAATATAATTAAATAAAATAAAATTACTTATTAATCTTGCCTCTCATTCAAGAAAAAAATGTTTATGTGATTTCATTACATTTCATTGATACTTACTTTATTGGTATTAGCAACATATATTTAATTTTTGTAATAATATTTGTATTATTATTAAATGTATTTTAAAGATATTAGTTTAGCACAAATGATTTTTAGAAGAAGTATATCTCTAAATATATATCAGAATTTTTTCAAATTTTAAAAAGATTAATTATATTGTTTATATATCATGATATATATATATAATCAAATTTACATGATGCAGATTTATATAGAAAATATATAGATTGACATACAGATTGATGTCATCCATATGCATTATTAAAATGGAATATAATTATTTAATAATTTTATAAATAATATAGATTATTGAACTTATCTTGGCACCAATTATCTTTAATTACAATGAAATCAAAATGCATTATATATATTATTTATGCAAAATAAAAATGCATTATTTAAAAAAAATTAAGACGACTTTAATTTTTTTTAAAAAACAGCTTTAAAAATTTTAAGTATTTATAGTTTTTAATTGATTCAAAACAGATCAACTTTTATTTGAAATATTTTTTTATTACATTATTGAAAATGATTTAAAAATTGTTATTATATTATTTTGCTAAAATAAATATGATCACACAATGAATATTATATGAATATTTATTAAAAAATGATTTATCATTTTATATATAAAATGATAATAATTTTATATATGATTTATCATTTTTATATATATATAACAATATGTTTATTGAAATATTTTAAAATATGTAAAAAATACATAACACTATTTAATTGTAAATATTTAATTGTTTTTTATATTATTTTTTTATTAATACTTGTTATATGAATATTAAATATAAAATATGAAAATGTACTTTAAAAAAGTTTTTTTAAATTAATAATATTTTAAAAAATAGAATAAATGATGAACCAATTTCAAGGAAAATTAAATTATAAAAAAATACAGATATATATATATATCTATTTATATATCTAAATTCCGTGACTTTAAACAAATATTTTCAACAAATTAATTTTTCCACATAAAAAAAAATTTACTAATTTAAATACTAAATGTAATACAAAATGTACATATTAAAAATGTAAAAAAAAATATAATAATGTAATGTAAATTATAACAAATAATAAATGATGATAATAAAATAATTATTTTTTATATAAATTTGTTTATATTTTGTATTGTTTATGTGTTATAATTATTTTTTTATTTATTTTTTGTTTATTTATTTTATTATTTATTTATTATTTATTTATGTTTAAATAAAATTTAAAAAAATTTAATGAATTAATAATAAATAAATATTTAATTTATAAAAAAATTATAAAATTAAATTAATTAATTAATTAAATTATCAAAAAAAATTTCAAATAAGTATTAATAATATTAGATGTATGAAAATAAATGTCAATACATGAAAAAATTAACAAAAATCTTATACTTATTATTATGATTTTTAGAAAATGTTTTGCTTGAAAATACACGCAAATTTTTCACAATCATTCAAGGATATAATTGTTATTAAAAGTAATTATAATTTCCGATAATTAGGGAATTATAATTGGGAGTAATTTTTCGTTAGTCAATTTTTACTAATAAAATAGATCCGTCCAATTTCTTTGTTAATTTATAATAGATGAAATCAATCAATTCGTATATCTCACTTCTCTAATGTAAATTGATTGAATCAATCCCAAAAACTCCAGAAAATCAAAATTCAAGCAACATCTAGAAGTACATTAGAATGTTCATTGCATATAGCATAATCTTAAAACATAATTATAATTTAATTTATGGTCTCCAAACACTAACCATGAAATTCATAAGCATGAAATTATATTTCGATTTAAATATTAAATATAACTTTTAAACTGAATAAATTCCAAAAATTAATTCTAAATTATTAAAAAATTCTAATTATTTAAAAATTCTAAATTTTGAATATATCAAACTAAAGTTGAATTAGTAAAATTGTAATTTTATATAATGTTATTATTAAATGTTATAATATCATATCATATATTATATACATAATTATTATTTATATATATTATTTAAATAAAATATATACATAAAAAATATATATTATAAGATATTTGTTTAATGTTTAAGTTGATTTATAGAATTGATTTTTAAGAATTATATTAAATTCTTATATCTAAATATGACATTTAATCTATGATTAATACGTTTTATATATGTAACTCATTTTTTCAGTAGAGGGCATTGTAAGCAATTGTATATGAAGCATATACAAGTGTGATATAAAATTTCAAAGATTATTTAAAAGTTTATTTAAAAGTATATATAATTGTAATTGCTATTATTTGTATTCTAATAAAATAATTTTTATAATAAATATGACATCAGCAATAGAATCTATGGTTGTAGATGAAAAGCAATTACCAGAAAAACCGATAGATAGAGAAAAAGTAAGAAGAAACATTAAAAATTTTCTAGAAATATCGATAAAGAATTAATACTTTTAGATTTTAAAAAGATTAATTACTTAATTTTTGTTATTAATATATTTGCATATTTTTATATATATTTTTCTAATAAATTTTTAGACATGTCCACTTTTATTGAGAGTATTTTGCAATACAGGCAGACATCATAATATAATGGAATACAGTAGAGGAAATGTTCCTTCAAATGAATTACAAATATATACATGGTAAAATGTTTTACATTTTAATATTTATAACCATATATTTATTCTCATTTTATAATTTATACAGAAATAAAACAAACATTTAAAAACTTTCAAGTAATGTTTATTCAACATATAGGATGGATGCAACTTTAAGAGAAATTACAGGATTAGTTAAAGAAGTAAATCCAGATGCTAGAAGTAAAGGAACATATTTTGATTTTTCATTAGTAACACCAGAATTACGAAATTCTGGATATCGTATGCGAGAAATTGGTGTGACTTGCTCAGGACAAAAAGGTGCAGATGATAACAAAACACTTGCCCAAGCAAGGTATATAAAGTATTTTTTTTTAATTAAAATTAGTTCAAGACTAATTAGTTTTGAGATTAAAAATTTTAATTTTTAACATTTTAATTATAGGTTTACAATTGGTGATTATTTAGATATATCAATAACACCACCAAATCGACAACCAGCAATTAGACGTGGTGCATTACGTCAATATTGATTTAAATAATAAAATTTTGTAAATTATGTTAATTTCTTAGTTTTCTATTAATAAAGAATATATAATACTAAAATTATCATGTAACAATTTATTTTTTTTATTTTATGAAAGTTTATTGCTCATTTTTATTAAATATTTTATTTATTTATTTAAGTAATTTAAGTAAATTAATTATATTTAAAAAATTAGTTTGAGATATTAAATAAGATTGAGATTTAATAAATATTAATATTTTTAATTTTTCTAACAAGAATATTTTTAAATAAATTAGAAATTAAATTAAATATAAAATTATTATTTATATATGTATAATATTTTAAAATAATTCAAACGGGATGCACTATCTAAAGTTAAAATACTTGAAATTTTATAGAAATATTAATTATATTAATTTTGTACAAAAAATTTAGGTAAAAGTTAAATATTTTTATAAACAACTTAATTTGATATTATGATTTTATAAAAAAAAATAATTTGTTTTATAATATATATAATTAATATATAATATATATATAATATATAATATATTTATATATTACATTATATATATTTATATATATAATATATTTATAATATATAATATATAGAATGAAATACATAAAGTTGTAATAAATAAGTAATAAAACTGTTTTTTCAATATTTTAGATTTTAATATTTTTATTATATT